TTTTTTGCCCATTTTTCGTGATGGGATCCCTTGAAAATGGGGTTTTTCCCTATATGGCCCACAGCGATCGCTATATCTTTCCCAATTCTCATCCGATTCTCAAACGGGGTACCTTAAACGATTTCTAGATCGATTCATCACCAAACTGCATCAAAATCGTGAGACAAAAAAAAAATTTTAAAATTTTCTAACGCGCGATTCTAAATATCTCGAAATTTTCTAACCGATTGCGGTGATGCGGAAAAAGGTGTTATGCTAATGTCCATATTATTGCTTTTAGCAGGGAAGTTTTGTACTCACCTTATAATCTCCAAACTTATCTCCGATCTCCAAACAAAACTATTTAATAACAAATAAAGTTATAAAGTAAATAATATGTAATAACATATAAAATATGCATGCAAAATGTTAGTGAGGAACTATCTCTTACTTTAATAAAACCCATGACAATTTTGTTATTTATTTGTATATATATTTTCATTAAATAATTTAACATCGCTTTATTTTCACGCAAAGAACGATTCGGGTTTAGTTTGTATTTGTTTTCTTTGGTTTTTAATAATTATGAGATAATTATTATTGTAATTTCATTCATCAAATAATAGTAATTAAATGTTACTGTTCCTCAATTACACAATCACACATTTTGTATAATTGCATTTTATATATTATATTTTATCCATTAGCCCTATTTCTGGCTGCATTATGTCTCTATAAACGTTACACTTGCTTGTTTCTTGTTGTGGCAGTGGTAAATCAGAGTATTATCCCTTCTAATCTTCCCGAAATATTAGACCGTGTCAGTTGGTTGAGTTTGTTGTTATACTCGTTCGGCTCGCCGCTGCGTATATATCAGTATATATATATATATGTATGTACATATACGATCCTATATTATGTTATTTTATGGGCTTTGTTCAAATTTATATTGTGAGAGTGTAGACTAAACAAATATTGCATTTTAGTAAAGCAAATTTATAGATTCACTTTAGTTTAATTATTATTCGGTTTCTTCCTTTAATGGTGGGCTTAGAAAGTGACTTCAAATTTGTAAAATACAATCGGGAGTAATTTTGTGATAGTTTTGGGTATTTGTTGGTTTTCTCTACATGAAAACTCGTATCTCGCATTGACACGATTTGAACTATTTGTTAGACTTTTGCTCATAGCATTGAATATTAAACTTGCATATTAATTAAGTAGCAAATTGCTGGTGGTAATATGTTGTATTATTTCCGCTAATATTTCACTATTACTTTAAGATTTTATATAGTTCTTGGTAGAGTTCAATGACGCGCTAAAAGGTTGACAACTGAAAAATTCGAACTGATTGCAAAGTAAAGAAAGGGAAACTCTGAGACTGTTCATGACTGGGGATTCTCGAAATATACATAGTATGTTCTGACGCCACTGTATGGAAATAAATGTCAACTCTGTCTGCAAATGTGATCCTCTCTACAGTATCTTTTTGTTCTCGTATCTTCTTGTTTTATTACGTTTTCAGTCTTTTTCAACAAATTGATTGCTTGGATTTTGTAAGTTTGTTCTCTGGATTGTTCTTGTTATTGTTGTGACAAGAGCTAAAGTATTAACTAAAACGCGATTGCCTAACGTTTGATGGAGCATGCTCATGATGTTTTTTCCCTTAATTCTTAAGTGGGTTTCCCCTTGTGATTTGGTTTTGTATATTGTTAAGACTACTATAACTCGCTAAAGCCCTGAGCATTTGGTCTCCATTTACTTGTTAAGTGTAACAAAAGAAATATTGGATCGAAAAGACCGTTTATAACAAAATCCCCAAGCGTCAAGGGTTCTCAAAGTAGGAATTTACAGGGTAGCAGAGTGCTGGGTTTATCAAGAACAAAAATATAGTTTAGGCACATTCAATACATATATGTATAGACTTAGACACTCTCCAACTAAACCAAGCATAAAAAACAAAATTGCGGTCCACAGAACCCCTCGCGATTTCGAAACTCCTAGAAACTGATAAGGAAAAGAAGCATTTTCCGAAACTATCATTGACTCATACATATTCCAGTAACGGATCGCCCTAAATTCTTAAAAGGAAACGCATTCCAAAGGATTTGTCAGAGATTTTCGCGGCTAGTTCGAGCCTCTCGTTCCTGCTATATGAGTCAGTTTGTTTCGAATGCATATCATTTTCTGTTGGTTTTAAGTTACGTTCGCTAATATTAATAAGTGTTTCGATATTGTGCAATACATTTCGGTAAAATAGTTCCATTCGCCTTCGCCGCCCTACTGCTAACTAACTAGCATAGCATTAGCGTCGTAACCCACCGTTTGGATTTCGTTTCGTTTCGTTTCTTATTTTTTTGTGACAATAATCGTATTTCATAGGTTTTCTCTAAATTAAATGCATATACAATTTTTAGTACGTGGTTGCATGCCAATCGAGTTAGTTTAGTTTAATTAACTATGTATGATATTATTGGTTAGTTGCTGCTTGCCGCTATTACTTGGGCTGTTTACATACGTTTCCTATATGTGAATACTTTTGTATAACAATTTACCTTCTGCTGCGGTTTAAATGTACGATATGACACAGTGATATATATTCCATAGTGTATGCTTACAATTTCTAAGTACAAGGACAAATACATATCGAACAGGATCGGTCGGGCCTCGAACCACGCCCGGTAGAAGCAGTTACAAGCGGCTAGAGCCTCGTCTCTGCACTGTCTCTCCTTCACCTTCCTTCCTTCACTCCCCCACCACCAACTGACCACCATCCACTCTGATTCCCAGTCACCACATGCACCTGCTGCATCAACGTCTTAGGCCTAAGCTAACTACGACTAAGAAGCCACAACAATTCGCAAATGAGTCGAAGTCCACGACGTACTCCATTACTAGTATAGAATATGTATCGAATTTGTTACCTTCGGGTCGTTGAACGATTAAAGCTTTTGGGGGAGAACAAATCAAGTAATTGGTTTGGGAAGTGTTACAGATTATTTATATATATTTATGTACTTTTAAAAGAAGGCGATAGCTGTAGTAACATTGACGTTTCATTGGTGTAAGTACGACATTTAAATCCTAAAATCAATAACCAGGTTGGGCAGCTAAGGCGGTTCCTAGACCTCTACAAATGAACACTCTGTTGCTCGCTATCTCCCACATGTTGATGCTGACACTCTAAATATTAAAAACTCTACTCTCTCTATATGCAATAATTAACAATTCACTATATAAAAATCAATTGCCCCAACACTCTGTTGTGTTTCATAAATCTTTGGTTTCGAGATTCATGCTCAACGCTCTTGATTCCTATCAAACGAATACGACAATAGTTAACCGATAAATTTGCTATTTAAAATCTCAACGCTTCTGGAAATCTCAATCTATATTAAAATCAAATAAGGCGCGATCTTGGCTATGTTTCTATGTGTGTATGTCATAATTGATGCCGAGTTTTAATCTGAGCTTTAACTTTCACTTGGAACCTTAATTATCGTCTAGTGTGGTTCTTGTCAAGGAAGTACGTGTTTGAAGACGAATGATTATGCTTAGTGGATACGAATAGCTGCGGTATCTGCATCTCCAATAGCGTGTATGACCTGTATCTGGGGCTAAGTGGAGTTACTCGTTCAGCGCTTTTATTTTATTTATTACAATGCTCACCGGCAAACTTTAAATAAAATGTAGCTTTCAGGTCGTTACATGCCAAGCTTGCCTATCTTTAGAAACTAGATTGACCCGACTGCTGGATGCTCTCTAGCTAACTGTGTCGGTACGAATTCGTGTCGGGTATTTACAGTACCATAGCATTTGTTAACAGGGTTATCCAATATGATGATTAGAGATATACATATATGTTGTGTACGTCATACGATTGGGATTAAGAACAGTTGCACGAACACTAGTGATTTATGTCAAGAAGCTTTGCAAACAAATTGCTTAAATGTATCTTAGTCGCAAAGCGTCGTTTATGTATATAGTTTTAAATATTTCTAGTACTTTATATATGTTATAAATTTTTAATCGGTTTTTGTCTTTGTTGTTTGTATAATTATGTTTAAATGCCTATAAATATTATACTGTACTGTTTGTATATTAGTGTGTATATCAGACTTTGTTTCATACAAAAACTAAGCACATCGATTCGTCATTAAATTCATGTTTTTGTATGTAGCGTGTATGCATCTGCGTTGCCTCCGACTTCAGTCAGAGCGTATAGCGAGACTGATCATATATTGTTGTAGGGTGTATATAGGCATGGATGTGTCTAGGAGGCGTAGAGAAACACTTTAGGCCAATACATTGCTCAAAAGGACGTCCAATATCTAGTTAGCATACACGTACATAGCGTTATAGATTTGAGATTTGGTCAGGATGAAACACAGACGTAGCACAGGCTAGAAGGGTCTGTTTTGTGGAACAGTGGTTCTTTCTATGTACATCATTCCACTTGAGGATGGAGAGTTGCAAAATATGTCATCAGCATAGCATTACTTTTAGGGCATTTAAGTAAATGTATAGAAATTGTAGGTTGTGTTCTTTGAAAAAAATAAATGCGCGTTCAACCTTCTGGTATAGTTTTTAGGTTATTCATACTTTCGTAATTTTATTTTTTATTTACTTTATGCAATTTGTTTTTCGATTGTGTTCGATTCAAGTATCATTTATTATGTATGCTTAGTTCATTGAAAAATACTGTTCGTAAATATTGTTGAATTCGGATTAAAATAAGCTGGCCGCAAAGCTTCAATGGGGTTTGGAAAGTATTCTTTCAGTATTTCGCATATGTTCTGCCATGGGGGTGGTTTCCTCTATAAAGGGAACTAGGATATCATTCCTTTCGTAGTATCTAGTAGCTTGTCGATTATTAAGAACGGCTGTGATAAACATATATTCGATTATTCGCTTTACTTTCGCGTATTGTAAATTTGTAAACTGTAAATACTCGAAAAGACCGCGTTCAGCATTGAATGACATTTTACTCCGATTACTTTCCCTCACACACCTACCCTACCTCATCGAAATTTATGTTCTTTATTTACAAATGCTATTGGTGAAATTAACCTGCATTCTGTCTCCTCTGCTAGCCGAACACTTGCACCTCAAAGGGGAGCAGATGTTTGGAGTTCTTTTATTTTATCGATAATCAATAAGATTGGTTTTTAACGACGCACATAGGTGCAGTTGCCTTTCCTTCTGATGCCCCCAACCACCCAGAGCCTTCTGACTCGCTTTGGCTCACTTTATGTCGTCGTACTCGTCACTTCCGTTCTTCGAATCCCCAGACGAAGAGCCGAGGGACGACAATCCAGGAGCTCTCTGGTGGGCACTAGCTACGCCTATCTTGTCCCCCGCTATCTTCTCCTTGCCGTTGCTGCTGCCGGAGCCCGGCTTCTCGTCAAAGGCGTCCAGAAACGGATTAGTCGCCGCATACTGCGCCCGGTAGGTTCCCAGCGTGTGGTAGTTATTACCCCCGTTGGCAAAGGGACGGGTGCTACTGCTGTTGGAACTGCTAGTATAAAAGTCGTAGCTGTTGGTGGAACCCGTCATGGAGCTTACGCCACTGCTGCTAGCTGTGCCTGCTCCACTAGAACCCGCACTTCCTCCCCCTGAGTGGTACGAGGAGCTACTGGCCGAGCTCCCGAACAGAGCTGCCCCCGTGGAAACTCCATTCTTGGGAAGAGTTCCATATAGATGCATGGCATTGTGGTTCCCGTTGCCTTTGGTGGTGGAGCTGGAGTGGTTTCCGTTCCCTAAGCCGCTGCTCCCGAAGAGCGTGCTTCCGTAACTTTTAGGCTCGGAGCCAGTCCCAGAGGACGTCCCTATTCCCGACTTACTACTACTGCTTACTCCGCTCCTAATGTCGTTTGCGGCGCCTCCAATGTAGGTCTTGGTCTCCGTCTCCGATGAAGAGGATGAGGCAAGGCTGTCGAATAGTCTCCTTCCCGTGGATACCAAGGATGAAGAGGTGCTGGTGGAGTTTGTGGTGTTCTTGCTATCCTTTGCACTGGACAGTCGTGAGGGGGAGGACATCTTTTGGCTCGAGTCCGTCGTGCTGGAGTTTGTAGTGTACTTGCTGATCGCTCCGGTGGTGACTCCCGGCTTGCTAGATGGACCACTGGAAGTGGGTGTAACCAGCTGGTAGGTGCCCTTTGGCAGTCCATCGCCACCTCCTGGCGGAGACGGCGAGTCTGGAGACTTGATCGGAGTAAATTGCACCCGCGGTTCCCGCTTCAGATACTTGGACATCAGCTGACTGGTGGTCATAGCCTGCGATTGGGCCAGCAGGGCGTTCGTGGAGGCTGAGGACTTGTAGGACACTAAGTCATCCGAGTCATCAGAGGAGGTTGTCGGAGCCGATGTGGCCGTGGACCCCGCACTAAGCACAGTTGCCTGGGAGGAGCTGGAGCTCGAAGTGGCACTTGACTTGTTCCTCATAGCCTTGTAGTCCTCGGCAGCGGAGAGGCCACTGCCGCCAGACTTGCTTGGTGTGTAGCTGTTGCTCCCGTAGTTGCTCTTTTTGGCGTCCAGACTGGAGTACTTGGAGCTGTATGCGCCTAGTTCTGGGGCCTGCGTCTTGTGCGTTTCATAAAATTCTAGGTTCGACTTATGGGAGGACATTGGCCCTCCGTTTTCCTTACTGCCCAAACCTGAGGTGGTATCCGATTTGGTGGTGGGCGTTATGATGTCCACAGGCGCGTCCTTCTGCAGCGGAGGCTTCTTCTGCACGATGGAGTAAGGGCTGGCCGGCTGGTCGATGATCTTGACTTGCTTGACGGAGACGGGCGAGGCGCCGCGTTTGATGGTATCCGTGCCTGCAAGGGATCACATGAGCATTGCTTTCAAATGAGCTGCGGTGCGTACTTACTTTTTCCCGATCCCGATCCGGAGCCCGATCCTGTCGAGGCCGAACTACTGCCGGGGGAGGGTGTGCCGGGAAGTGGCAGTGGCGATGGGTCGGGAATTGCTGAGCCCACTGAGGCCCCCAATTGATAGGGCTGCAAGTGATTAGTCGAAAGACAAGAGAAGAAAAGAAAGGGCAGGTAAACCCCGCACCAGACGGTCAAATTTTAATCTTCTATGGATTTGAGGTTCTTAGCTGGATTAGGGTTGGGGCGCAATACGTGCTAAGTGTTAGTTCGTGGGTGCAAAGAATTTAAAATTTTGAATCGGGCTAGTTTGCTGTGTTAGTGGGTGTTTCGGGTGTGTCGGCGGGGAAGTGAGATAACATGTAAGTACGACGAACACATTTAGTTATCATAGACAAAGGACAAAATCACTGCGTGCGGGTGCATTTCTCGTACTGGGGAACGGCCAATTCGTAAACCAATCAGATGTTGTGTCGGATTTGGGGTTGGGGATATGGACTCTGGAATTGTGAAGGCGATGGTGAACAGTGACGATCAAGGCATGCAAAGTGAAGACAATAAACTACAATGGAGCTACCACCGAATTCTTTAGGTTGTCCGAGTTCAAATACAATTGTTACAGGCTATTTTTATAGTTTACTGGCTTTTGTCAGGAATGATAAAAGACTCTCAATAGTGAATGAACCTTTATACATGTATCTACGGATGTACAACAGTAAAGCCTTCAGTGGCACCCATTGAAATTACTTAAGGAGAGTGCGGGGGTCTTAAACAGGGATATACATATGTGCAACATAAACTGAAGGTATAGCCCTTTCATGAACGTACAAACGGCAACCTTTGGGGTATCAATGAGTTTTAACTAAATGCCAAGGGGCGATAGCTCCTAGCGGTTTGAATGGATCTGTGGTTGTGGGCTCTTTTCAAAAACTAGCCACTGTGGGACCAGTAAAAAGCTAATTTTAGGGGGTTTCAAGCTCTGGGGGCTAATGTAGTGATGATTTTTACAATGGCAGTACGCGAGTGAAATAAAGCATGTACATGTTCGTGTGTTCTCTCTTGGCATGTATGAATAACTATTGGATTTGGATACGAGGAGTACATGTGGAACAAGGAGTCGATACGAGAATGTATATTTATTTGTTACCAGTAGTGGGCCAATCATGCTTTACACGCCTTTCAACATAAATCACATCGCTTCAATTATCATCATTACCATCATCATATATCACACCGATACGTTAAAGTATACTATATAGTACGTTTTATAGTTTTATAGGTGTATACATAGTTCACACAATTACAAAGAATCAGCAAATTAGGATTACTTTACTGCAAAATTGGTCATATTTCATACAGTTTTTCTTGAAAAAGCGCAAATCAAATCGACAACAAATAATGTTTGGAAGATTCCATTAATAGTTTCGTTTTGTGAATGTATGTTTCTATACATATTTCGTCATCTTCTCTTTTGCAAAACGGTCAACAGGAAAAGTTTAAAGACAAATATGTTTAGGTGTTTGTTCGTGTTGTTTGGCATGTGTATCCCTCTTTCCCTACATATTAAAACTTGGATAAGCTATATCTTAAAAATTAACTAAAGGTAATAACTTTGATATTGCCTTCGTGTTAAGTATTAGAAACTTGGATCACTAATTCGTTCCCCGGGAGAAGAACCAATAAGAAACCACTCATCGTACTCTGACAATAAATGCCCTAGAAATATATGGGTATATCCGAAAAAGGGTAACTTCTTGAAAAGAACTCAACTAAAGAATAATCTCTTTCCGCAGTTCAGACAATTTGGAATATAAGTACGCGTGCCTTGTGTTACTATAGAACTTCTTATGTGCTTCTTTAGATAGGTTTCTTGTTGCAAAGGACTTCGTTTCATAAAATGTTATCTTTTACTGAGCTCTGCCTCTGTTCTGATGGGGTATGTTGGTTATGTTGTATCGTGTGCTTGGTGGTGTCCCACTGTGTTTGTTTACCTGTTGCACCGCTTGTTGCAAGGCTCGATGCGATTGAGCTAACTGACCCACTACTGATTGATACAGATGACTGTTGGCTGTGGCTGAGAGCTGAGGATGGCCTTGGGAGAGTATGTTGGTTACCGAAGTGGACGAGCGCAGTAGGTTGCCCGCCGCCATGAGCTGCGCCTGCTGCTGCAGAAGGAGTGCCTGTCTGTCCGCTGGCAACGCACTGACTTTGCTTCCACGCTGCCCTGTTGACTCGCCGCGCCGACCTGTCTACATAGGACTCTGTATTAATCAATATTAATGTGGATGCGAGTTGGATGGAGGATGTATCGTAGTGGAGTTATGAGTGGTGAGTTATGGGGTATGTGTTATCGCCCAAAAAAAAACTAAAACTCACTCCCAAGCAAGAGTGAAACCCTACACACTTATGATCCATTTAATGCCGCGTTTCATTAAATGGACGAGATCGAAAGTAATGAATCACTGGGTTAAAAATTATGCATTTTCCATGGAAAATTTTACTCTTCAAGGAACATAGCAACGTCAAAGATAAAAATAAAAAGTCAAAGTTATGAAATAAGTTGGGCAACCGCATTGTGTCTGTGGGATTGTGTTTCTATGCGCTGCTGCGTCTGTGCTCGCTTAACTTTTAATGGTGAGACGAACCAGGCATTGTGCCGCGCTTCAGGCTTTAAAGGAGGTCGAACGGGTGGAGAGAATTATTGACTTGGAACAGCTGCTGATGCTGCGATGCATCCAAAGCAGAAACGAAATGATGGAGTAAAGAACTCTTGCAAGTGTGTAAAGAACTACACTTCGGTTGTGGGTGTCGGTACTCTGTGTCTGGCTAGTGTCTGAGTGTGTGTCTGGTCTTCCAGGGTGTATTAGGTCGGTTCGATTTGGGTTCTGGACACTGGGAGTACGTTACCTGAAGCAACGCCAGCCATATTGCTCATGCTGCCGGCGGTGGCCATGCCGGACAGCATCGCCCCTGTAGCGCCGGCCATGTGCTGCGCCAGCTGCTGATGCTGCGCCTGCGGCTGCGGCCAGATCTGGAGAAGATACTTCAGCACCGCGATCGGCTGGGCGTGATCAATGTCAGCGCCCGGTTGCGCACTCGCCGAATGCAGCATCAGCGGGGGGCCCATCACTGTGGCGAGCGCCTGGGCGGACATCTTGTTCCGCTCCGAGTTCGACACCACCAGCGACAAGTGGTCAAGCAGGAACACCAGCGTTGCCTATTGAGAGAAGTCACGAATCAGAAAACCTTATAGAGTAACCAGAATAATCCTTTCAAACGTACCCGGTTCGCCCGCGGCAGACAGTCGAGGATGCTGAGCATAAGTTTCGCATTGCCCTCTGGGTCATCTGGCAGGCACACAGCTGAGATTCGAAAATAAATTAGTTTTAAGAGTAAAACGCTATTTAAGAAAATAGTAGTCACCCAAAGCATCCACCGTCATTTGGAAAAGACATCGTGTGAACAGTGGCTCTGGAAGCTCCCTGAGGTAGTCCTTGAGCACCCCGGTGATGACATTGATGTCAGGAACATGCTCCGGGCTCAATTCCACTGCGCGGCTGTTGCGCTCGAAGGCCTCGCGCAGCAGTCGCTTCTTAGTGGCGGATCCGCACAATCTATACAGCCCGATTATGTCTAGGCCCCGACGTTCCACCTCCTCGACGCAGCGCCGCAGAACAATGGGCACTGGTGCACAGCCGGGCGCACCCTTAGACTCTCGATTGACAACCGACTCCAGGTCGGCTCCGAAGAGAGTCGGGTAACCGGCTCGTAAGCTGGGCAGTCCGCGACGCTTGTAGAGGGCAAGGGGATCCGTGTGGCGCATTCGGATGTAGATGGTGCCCCTGGGCTCCACCTTGAGGGCCAGTTGATGCAAGGGAGACTGCCTCAGGATGGCGGACAGCGAGATGGCGCCGCGGTAGCACAGTTTGTGCCTGTGCTGCGGGTCCCACGAGTAAACCAGCACGTCCAGCTGCTTGTTGCCCACCAAGTCCAGCTCGAAGGACTCGTCCCAGTCGAACTGGAGGTCACCAGAGCGCACTACTGTGCGAGCTTTGTGCACGCGATCGCACTCGATTACGCAGTAGAGATCTCGGGTTTGTCCCGGCGGGGCGGCTCCGGCCGGACCTACTCCTTCTGGAGCGGTTCTCAAGCCGCGACCAGCCAGAAGGTGAATCCATAGCATGCCGGAGACACCTCCCATGTCTACGATGGGCTTGTCCAGCTTGTACTTTGCAAACTCCGCCGGGTTGATGTCGATCTGGCGATGGGGACGCGGCAGTGTAGCACTTGGCGTTGGCGCAGGACTTTGGTGGCCTCCAGTGCTCATTATGCTGCCACTAGGACTGGCCGGTCCAGCGGAGAGCTCCAGCAGCTGCCGCATGCGGCGGATGCTGGGCGAGCGGATTGAACCTGCGCCGCCGATATGCTGCGAGGACATAGATCTTACTGGCAGCGCCGAGATTGGGCGGGTAAGGCCCATGTTGCGGTCCAAAGTGCCGGTGCCGAGGATGTGGTTCCTGCTCGAGTAGATGCTTTCCGTCTGAAAGAGTGAGTATGTTCGATTACTGCTGCACTGCTAAGGTAATTAAGACCATTGCACCGCAATCCTACTTACATTTCTCAGCACATCGTGGATGTTTTCGGCACTGCACGAGAACCTCTGGGCTCTTGGCTGGGCAAACATGTCTCGCGTCATCCGCATCTGCTCCGCAATGGCTGAGCTGCTCGGCGCCCTCCTCAGCCAGGCGCGGTACTCGTCCGCCGTGAATATTGACGGGCTGGCAGTGATTCTTTGGCGCAGATCCCTTCCCCGCCGCGCGTCGAACTCCGGTGCCGAAGTGTTGCCATCGTTTTCGTCCACAAGACGATCGCCGATTCGCGATCGCATTCCCTGCAGCCGGACACCGGGTCGCTCGCGGGGCAGCGAGTTGAATTTGTTAAGGTGATCCGCTGCCAGCATGGCTGCGGCGGCGGCTGCTCCTCCTCCGGCACCCCCCGATCCTCTTGGCATGCTTGCGATGGCGGGGCGGTTGTAGTAGTAGTAGCTCGGTCGCGGACCAATCGTAGCCTCTGTGTCACTGGAGTAGTCCAGATTCGGCCTAGAGCGGCGAGTCAGAGACTGGGCTCCTGCAGCCGGGGGACCGTACTTGGAGACACCGGCACTTCGCTGCTGATCGTAGCGGCCATATCGGCCCAATGTACCACCTACGCCCACTGGTAATGGAGCTCCTCCTGCCGTTCCTGGCTTTAAGCTGGAACGGAGCAATGAGTGGCGGCCCAGGGAGTTCGAGTAGTCTGCATATTCGACGCGGGGGAGGTGCTGATCCGAGCCCGATCGAGGAAACCTGGCGTGCTGTTGGGCCAGACCCACGTTGCCGGTGCCGGTGGACATCCGGCGGGAGGGCCCAACTGGTGGACCACCGGGTGCTCCCGGGTAAAAGGCGTGCACCTTCTCCGCTAAACTCTCCAGAGTTCCAGCATTTTGGTAGTAGGCATGCGATGGCGCAAAGGCGTGTCCTTTTGTGGGCTGCTCCGTAATCACGGATGATGGAGGGGGTGGTGGCTTGTAGCCCCAGTTCGGAGGCTCTCCCATTGGCCCTCCTCCGCCGCCACCTCGCGTATTGTAGTACATGTCCAGCTGCTCCGACTGCGGACTGTAGTTGTTCAGACCCAGACCCAGGCGGGACCGGGACTCCGTCATCTCGCGACCGTCACCTGAAACAAACGCAGAGAGAGGCATCCGGTTAGCATGACGAACATGGCGTCAATTTCAAACTACCTGTACGTCTATCACGTGATGATCGCGGCCTCGGCATCCGATCCGTCTCGTCCAGGTCCTCGTCGCGCAGATCCCGTTTGATTACCACCACCGGTGGGGGCTTCTGCTCCGGCCTGGAAAGCGTTGGAGGTCCCGGAGAGCCGGTGCCTCGGTTGCCGCGCCTCTGCCGAATGGCCAACACCAGCCGGCGTGGAATTGACATGATGATAACGACATCGTCTAACGACATGTGGGTGACGTCCACCAGGTTGACCGCCAAGATTTCATCACCCACCTAGAGTACCCGCAGGAGAGTAATCATTAGCGGGGCATTACTTAAACAGAAAATAAAGGAAGTCTTACCCTCAAGCAGCCGCTGTTGTAAACGGCAGACTCTAACGCTATCCTGGAGATGAACACGCCATCGGTGCGATCGGCTCCGTTGCCTTCACGGATGTACAGACCCAGGGTCTGGCCGGGGCGCTTCACGATTTCCACCAGTTGAACCGTGTGCCGCCCATCGGCCTTGTTCATCAGTTTGTGGGCTGCGTCCACCGCCGGCTTGCTGCCCATGCACCGGGGCTCCAGGATGCGCACTATCATCTCTCCGCGCCGCTCCACCGCTTCCAGGGCCGCCGCCGTGTTCGGGTCGTGGTCATTCTCGACGGCCTCTATCTGGCGAAAGATCTCCGAGCTGATGCCGCTGACCTTGCGGAAGTCGCCCTGCAACAGCACTGGATCCTTGGCGCCCACTGCGTTTGATAGACTGCCGCTATGGCCGCGGTGGTTGCCGTGGTGCTGCTGGTTGGCATGGTTTCCATGGTGCTGCTGATGCTGCTGGTTCCCATGGTGCGGCTGTTGGTTGCCCAGCGAGGATAGCTGATTGGCTGGCAGCGGGCCGGGCGGTGCTCTACCCGGACTGGCAGTGACATCAGGAACTGATCTTCCATTCTCCTGAAAGAATAATAAAGAATTCGTGAATAATCTTCCATTTTACGATTCTACTTCAATTTGCATCAATTCCCCTCTCCGGAGTTGCATGGGAGAACTATACGGGCCACACCGAAGGCTCTATCTTGGCCAATATTCACCCGATCCTACAGCGGAATAGCTTAAAAGGTTTGTGGTTCGATTCTTCATCAATCTGCATCAAAATCTAGCAACAAAATATTTTTTAGATTTTTTGTCCATTTTTTGGGGTGCCCCCTCCGGAATCGCATGAAAGGGACTATAGGGGCCACCCCGAAGGCTCTATCTTGGCCAAAAGTCACCCGATTCTACAGCGGAATAGCTTAAATGATTCCTAGATCGATTCTCCATCAATCTGCATCAAAATCTAGCAACAAAATATTTTTTAGATTTTTTGTCCATTTTTTGGGGTGCTCCCTCCGGAATCGCATGAAATGGACTACAGGGGCCACGCCGAAGGCTCTATCTTGGCCGATATTCACCCGATTCTACATTGGAATATCTTAAAAGGTTTGTGGATCGATTCTCCATTAACCTGCATCAAAATCTAGCAACAAAATATTTTTTAGATTTTTTGTCCATTTTTTGGGGTGCCCCCTCCGGAATCGCATGAAAGGGACTATAGGGGCCACGCGGAAGGCTCTATCTTGGCCGATATTCACCCGATTCTACAGCGGAATAGCTTTAATGATTCCTAGATCGATTCTCCATCAATCTGCATCAAAATCCAGCAACAAAATATTTTTTAGATATTTTTTCCATTTTTGGAATGTCTTCTCTGGAATCGCATGAAAGGGACTATAGGGGCCACCCCGAAAGCTCGATCTTGGCCAATATTCACCCGATTCCACAGCGGAATAGCTTAAAAGGTTTTTGGATCGATTCTCCATTAACCTGCATCAAAATCTAGCAACAAAATATTTTTTAGCTTTTTTGTCCATTTTTTGGGGTGCCCTCTCCGGAATCGCATGAAAGGGACTATAGGGGCCACGCAGAAGGCTCTATCTTGGCCAAGATACAATAGAAGCAAGATGCAATATAAGAAACGGCAAATCATGTCAAAATTATTCAAATTATATAATTTAATTGAATTTTGTTATCAAAGTTAGCTGTCAGTGTATTCGTTCTTCCAACACATGGCTGCCTGGTAGAGGCTATTATAATTAAGCTGTGCCCCAAAAGCTGGCAGTAATTATTTCGTCAGGGTCTGGGCTTGTTCCACTTTGTATTTTTTTCTTGGAGACTCACGCCAGCTGTAATTTCTGTCAGTACCACATACCGGCGCAGCGTCATGCGAACCTCCAGAGTCAGGACGCTGGCAGGACAAGAGGCCGGATACTGGGCGACTGTGCCCGGCACGTGACGTGCGGATCCGATGATGTCACAACGTCAGCATTTCCCTGCTCTTTCCAGCAGCGGACTACAATGTGCTACTTTGATTTTGGCAAGGGCTGGGGCGTCAAGAAATCGGTTGCAAGCTCAGTGCCCCGCAGGAAGCTTTTAATGGATTAATGTCGGGAGAAAGGGGTTGGGCCAGACGCCACTCCATCAGAATCCCGGCAAGGAGGCATCACAAAGTAGCCCTCGGGGCTGGGGCTGTGGAAAATTCTTTCAAAATTTCCAAGACTTCCACAAACACACAGATGGTGTGTGTTCGGGCTCCCTCTCTTGTATAATTTTGTCACACTCGCTAAAAGATGGAGGAGCCACGTCATTACGACTCGAGCATTTGCTACCCAATCATTTCCGGGTTCTAGGACTGCCATAATTATATGCCTGCATGTTTTGGAAATCTGGAGGGCCTCCCAATCAGCGAATCCAGAACGAAGCCTGAGCCAAGAGCCAGGGCCGTTGCCTGGAAACTGTTCCTAGATGTAGGGCACTAAACTTTTGGGGTATTTGGGTACAGCGGCTAGGCGCCCAGTCCTCTGAAAGTGCATGGCCAAATAAATATTTCATGCGAATTATGGCGAGGCATCATTAGCACACGAGCTCCGAGGCACAACAGAAGGCCATTTGTTGTTGTGTTTTCGGGGAACCGCCCCCTTGCGTGTGTGTGAGTGGCGAACGGGGCGTGGGCGGGGCTGAACAACTGTATTGAATATCAAAGAGGACTTGGCAGTCGTTGGCCCTCGCCCCGTTGTTGATTCTAACGAGTATTCCCTCACATTGAGTAGAGGAATACTATACCAAGAAAGGAAAGCCGTCGGGCAAGGCGCTGATGCAGACTTTCGGACACAGCTGAAATGCCCTCTGAAAGGGCATAACAAGCCAGTAAAACCAAACAATAAATCCAGATGGGTGCATCGCGTGCAGGCCTGCTTAGGCCGAAGTGCGCCCTGGCTCTAAATGGACACATGAAGTGGCAAAGCAACAGCCAACACGGCGAGAGCTCCCCGTCCAAGCTGTCAGCGTGAAATTTATGCACCCACATGTCCTGCCGTTCTATCCGGCCACTGCCCGCCTTGCGCCACTCAGTCTAAGCTCTGTGTAATCATTTTTTCCAGGACCTGCCACACTGACATTGTCACATGAAAGTTTAAAAATTATATGCCAACAGTTGGGCAGTAGGCAGTAGGACATTCCCCCCTTCAACTCAAATAGTTTCAAGACATAACTACTATTGTGAAGAAAGGAGCTGTCATAAGCGAGTGTCGCAGGCGCCTTTCTTTCAGACACCACGAATCCATATGTAGGTACTGTGCGTCGCCCACTTAATTAAGAAGTGTATATTAAGTTAACCGGCGTCCAGTAAACTCCAGTGGACGATTAGGAATCGGGAAAATGGCAAGGCAAGTCGCCCACTAAAGGCGCTTAGCCTTAGACTGAGACCGAGGAAGTAAGAAGGTAAACGCCAAGTGTGACTCACAGGCCGGGTGCAGACTAAGTCCCCGGGTTCGGGGGGCCCATTTCGACTTCATTATGCTCGCCTAACTGCTGAGTGAGCAGGGAGTCTATAGAAGTCCACCCCCAGCCCACTGTTAGGGGTCTATAAAGACCCCACCCCGCCGGCGGCTACTAATTGAGAATCAGCTCACACGTTGGGGATGGACTTTAAGAAGCTTTTTACATTTTTGGATTATTCCCAACTCTGCGGAAGGGGAGGAAGTGGCCGCAGAGGGCAAAAGCCATGGGAGGAAGTTGCGTGACAACACAAATCAATAAAATCATTTTAGTGCCTTTACAGCCAAATAAAGTATAAACACCCGGTAACGGAAATTGACTAAAATTGTAATTATGTCGGAACAAGCGCCATTACTGCCAGCAGTTAGAGGCCCGAGGGCTGATTTCCTCATACACTGTACTAAACTAGGCCCACTGAACTGCAGCCTAGTTGGTCTAGTCTCAAAATAGTGTCCTAGCCATTCCGATTAGCTCACCTAGTTGGTATTTGGGGCACTTTTTCTCAGTGAATCTACGCAGAAGCGAGGCGCACTAACTTGAAGTAACCTTTGCAGTGGAAAGTGCGTCATTGGCCTGACTCGGCCCGTTTAATAATTGACTAGCCATAATTGTAATGACTAGCCCCAGTGCCCGAGCTTTCCCTTCTTAGCCCGCTAGTTCTCTAGTCCAGTCTGTCAGTGGGACAATACCCGTACCCAGTCCTCCCCTGCCGGTTGATTGATTGTCCGACGGATTGATTGATTGTCGGAGCGTGTGATTTAGCAGGATGTTGGTTTGGGTCTGGGCCTCAGTCGATCTTCTTTGTTTTCCAAAGATTCCACAGACTCAGATAGGCCAAACAAAAACGAGAATAATTGCTTGGCTTTGTTGCTATTTGATTTCGGGGAATTGATTTGGCTCGGCCATGGCCGTGTAATTAATAATGCTAAGCATAGTGGCCAGTCATGTTATTTGTCTAATGGTGCTCGAACTGATTAAATTACTCACCCCGGCGAGGCCAACGCTCTGGGGGAGTCAACTTAAATGGTCGCATCGGGCCCTCACTGAAAATTTAAGCTTATACTATCGATTGTGCCGGCGCAGGAATTCCTGGGAATTGTTTTTGGAAAACCCTCCGCAAATGAAGAGTCCCCTAGTAGCCACCCCACATAGCCTGTATAATTATATTTTGACAATAATGGGTTCCTGGATGGGGTCGGTGATATTCCCTGTGCGGTTTCCTCCACGCCAGTTACACGTCACTCTGTTTTTCCGGCTAGGACTCACCGAGTTCACTGACAACCATTTCACTGAAAGCCATGCGAGAATTGCCGCCATTCCCTGCTCACGGCCACAACCACGTTAATAACAATTGTCTGAAGCAGCTGCTCCGAAGCCAAAATATTTGTCACCACTACCCGAGGTCGTGGGCCACCTACCTTGGCTCATTTCGGCGCAAAAAGCTACAGTCTGTGAGGAGAAATGCAGGCAAGGAACACTTTCCAAAATTAATTAAAATAGGAATGAACTGGCAAACGATTTTGGAGCTTCCTTTGGCTACTTGGGAGTAGAAGTTGCGCCGGAAGAGCCGCACATGCCAGTGACAATGGAAAACGTAGCCAGAGGATCAACCAGAAGGGGTTGCTGGGTCAGTTGGGAGTTGGCTGAGAGATAACCGCAAATTAAGGCAAACAACAAGGACAAAGCAGCCCCATAACAACCACGACGACAGCCCGAGTGACACAAGCCGCACTGTGAGTGACTTGACAGCCCCAAAGGGCTGGGCAGTGGAGCCCCCCCTTCCACAGGCACACCCGGCGTATTAGTGATTTATCGATTGTATTCAAATTTTCCGACACATAATGGAGGCGTCAAACGCATTCCAAGCATGCTACTATGCAGCTGCATCCCGGAACACTCCGCCAAGCAGTCAGTACAGATTTGAAGATGCTTCAATGCCAGGGCTTCAGAAGAGCCCCCATCCAATCACAAGTACCGGGTGGCAGAGACGAAGCCCTGAGGACCCGGGCTACTCACATCACTACCGCAGGCACGAGGGCTCACAGGCTCTGAAAGAGGGTTTTAGGATAAGGTTTCGATTC